GGTCGGTGGGTGGGGGTGGGGGGGGGGGGGGGGGGGGGGGGTGGGGGGGGGGGAGGCTTTTGTCTGCGTGTCTGTATGCACGGCCTCACCGCCCCCCCTCGCATTCAGACAGATATTGCTTGTTTGTGGCAGATCGATTCAGCCCACTGCCTCGGCCACGAGCGCGATGAAAGGCGAAGTTGTTAGTTGAAATTCCGCCATTTGCCACTCGACTCCTCTGTTGATCTACTTTGTCACAGGTCATTGAGCACAATGTCACATCAATTGACTGCACAGATGGGAAGAGACAGACGGAGCCAGAAAATATCTCCCTGGATCAGACTGTATTCTTTAGCTCCTTTTATCTGCTAATCTTAGCTCAATCAATGTGAGAAAAAAAGTAACTCCTTTTAACAAACCGTCTACCTGCCCAGACATTCCACCTACTGTGCACTTAAGCTACCTTACTTTGATGTTCAGAAAATATACAGATATCTGTGAAGGTGTTCGGTGCATGCACGCCAGCTCAGTTTAGTCCACTCTGATCAAACTTTTGTTTGCCTTGAATGTCCGTTTTTTTTTTTTTTTTTTGGAGAGGTGTAGATGCACAGTCAACCTCTGATGTGAACCAAAAAAAAAGCTAACTCTGGACCACCTATACACCAAGATCCCAGATCGGTTGAAATGAACTCTGATGCGGTTTGAATGCATATGTGAATGGCAAGTGAATTGGATTCCAGTCCAAAGGCAGGAAGGAGACTATTGTGCTGGGCATTCTGATTAAATCCAGCCGAAACAAACAGGAATCCAGCAGAAATGACTCGTTGTCTTTCGTCTTTGGTCTTTCGCCAAAGACGAAAGGAAAATCCTACTTCCCCTAAAATCTGACGCCGCTCCAGTTTCTGTTTACATTTCGTAAAGAAGGATGTTGCATTCAGTGTCTTCTTAAAGTGACAGTATTGCGTATATTCCAAAGAATTATCCATTCTCCATGTTAAGTTATTGATGTATGAGGCTGAGGAAGAGTCGGTGAGTTGAATTCATGAATTCCATTTATTAACACCAAGTTACAGCTGGCCCATAGTCCATGCTATCCTTAACGGCTAACAGAACAAAATGGCACCTAAAAACAGTTTGTGATCCCCTTTGTTGGCCTCTATCCAAGCTACGCCCTAATGTGTCATATCTTCTAACCTTAGCTTTGAGGGTTTTTCCTAACATGTCATTTCCTTTAGCTTTAGCTTTGCTAGCTAAAAGCGATCGAAGGAAAACAAAGAATTCTTTATTCTCAACAACAGCAATCAAATAACTGTTACCTAAAACGCTGCTTATGCTAATCCAAGAAATTTTGCCTTGAAATGTAACGCTTCGAAATTGGGCCTCCGTCTCTTTACGAAGCTCTTGCTCTTTCCAACACTCCACCTTCGGTACGTCTTCTTTGCTACGTTGTCACAATAACATTCCTCTATCAAGCGATAAACAACATTGGAAAGTGCTGGAAAGTAGTTTGTATGATGAGCTCAGCAGATGCTCAGTTCCACCTGGTGTTGCTAATTGCTGCTGCTGCTACTTGTATGAGGGAGAGGAATAATCAAAGCAACACTCCAGGTACGTGATATAAAGCTCAAAAAAACTACATTTTACTTGATGCTGTCCCTTTAAGAGGTGGTTATGCTTGAGTGGTCCTTGGTGCAGTGCCACCACAGGTGAAGGGGGTAAACAAGTTACTCAAATTGTTTGGTTTGTTTGACACATTGCAGTGTGAAAGCAAACTGCGCTAGCTGATAATGTAACAATTGAGAGGATATTGTAGTGCACATAAAATTAAATGGTGATAAAATATGAAAATATTTGGGATTGATCTATCAATTAAAAAAAAAAAACATTTTGTATTTTCAAGTATTCTGTACATTTTCTCCTGTTTGCTGAGTTAGAAGTGAGTAAAGTTGTGCATTTTATCAATATTGCATATTTATGGAGGTCAGTGGGGAAGAGACATCTCATTTGCCTCCTTGCTGCTGTTGGTATATTCCTCAGATTCAAGCTCCATATATTCTTCCACACACAGAAGGAATTCCACATGCTTTATACTCTGTTCCTTAATGAAGTCTGCTGCTTTCCTGTTGCTCCCTTCATTGTTTTTCACATCATTATTTCTGTATTTTTCCTCTCGGAAATTGTGCGTTTCATTATAGTTAAAATGGCCCATTTGTACTGTTCTTATTTGCTATATTGCTTCTTTTCGCCGGGATCAGAGCTTTAATGATTCCCACAGGCTGTATTAAAGTTTGATCATATTTTTACTTCTCTTTGGAGATCGGCGCAGGAAACTTAATTTCAAACTTTATGTGGTTTTCTGTTGCCGCTTTATAGACTCTTTGTCCTCCATCAACCAGGCGTTCCGTCGCAGACCCACACACGAAAACGGCGAGCTGTTCCACCTACACGGGAACAAGGATATGCTTCCCTTTCCATAGACAGCTTCTTAAAATCCCAGCTAACCACACTAATTTACCGTTATATTATTAAGTCAGGTAGGCAAATAATGTAATAGTTTAATTGCAAAATAAAGATCAGTCTCAAGGAAATGCGTGTAGTTTAGTTTTATTGGACCCGTTGATTTGGAATCTTTTTAGACTCGCTTACAAGGTGAGCTGTGAAAACATTTCAATGAGGAATAATCTATCGGTACCACTGCTGAACTTTTAAAAGGATAAGTTCTTCTAATCGAGACTCTTTTTGTGTGAACAGGCACTGTGTGCGGCCGTGGTGTCGTCTGACGTGCTGCAGACCATGGAGTTGGTGTTCAGCGGGGCGGACGTCATGTGCGCCACTGGAGATCCGGTCTACTCCACTCCGTACCTCTTGGCTCAGCGTGCCGGGCAGAAGCTACAGATGGAGTTCCTGCATCAGAATAAGCTATCTGGTAGGCTGCTGTTTTGAAATTGTACTTGACATTCCATTAAAACGCGAAAGTTTCTACCTGTACCAGCATTGACTCGATGAGCGTTGGAGAAGATAACAGTGTACGCATAAATGACGGCATACCTTTAATTGTCTGCCTAATAAATATGGGAATTCAAAAAAAAAATAGTTGCTCTGACCAACTAGGGAGCTTATTATATTGGTTTCATAAGAAAGCATACATGTGTCCATCTCTTTATCCGTCCATCCTCCTAAAAGACTCGGCATTTATTTCCTGGTAAACCTTAATATTTATACTTTAAAATGGTCTGATCATTTATTTATTTGCTAGGTTTATTGTTTTTATTCCATTTTTTTTTAATTCAGGTATTGTGGTTTAGTGAGGAAATGTTATATACTGTGCTGGCATTATCCCCGAACGGATCCCATAGATGGTGGCTAAACCAAGAGTTAAACTTGACACAAAAAAAAAGTTTTTCCAGGGTCACTATTTAACTCAGGGGAGACGCTGGGGCACAAAATGCAGCTGGGAAGCAGAATATCTGATGTGTTCTCCTGACAAAACCTGTGAAGGGGGGAAAAAAAAAAAAAAAAAAAGATGTGGTGTTATGAATCCGTAAAAAGATCTCGGAACTAAAAGTTCAAGTTTGTCGGCTACCACTTCTGATGGCACACACATTTTGTATTCTTGATTTGTTAACGAGGCAGTGATGTTGCAAACTTGTTTTCACTGCTGTTCGTGTTGGTACATTCACAGCACTATTCTTTTTTTTTGTGTGTGTGTGTTTGCTGTGAATAGAAAACGAGGGCCATAAAAACCAACAAATTTGAAGCAAGGGAGTTTTAAGTTTAAAGGTCTGTCTCCATGTTCCTGTCTCTGTCCTACCTACCCCCCACAACACTCCTTTGTATTACCCACCTCCTGTTCGGTCGGCACGGCACAGACGTGGCTTCCTCCTGATGGGTGTGTTTTATTCGCGCACTTCCACACGGGGTCCCCGTGATGAGAGCGGATCGGATTAAAGGAGCCTGAGGCCGGGTGGGAGACTTTCTCTGGGACTGTATTTTACATAATTCATGCGGTGCATCTGTGTACACTCGCCGGCGCCGAGCCTGTTAGGGACCCGCTAATTGCTAGCATGGGTCACCTGGTCACCAAGGAGATGGCAATTATCGGAGGTGCACTGAAAGATACACATGCAGAAAGGAGAAGAAGCCGACACGTATTCGTGTGTACGAGCGTGTTCATGTAAAATGTGTAGGATACACACAGCCTGCGTGCCCGTTGTAAGTTTCGAAGTTGCTGGACTTCGTCATTAAAACACAGATGACTGTGGACCTAACCAGACTTTTGCTGTGGAGGCGGACGTCCAACGTGGCTAACATACTGTAAGAAGGTACCTGGGTCAGGAAACCTAAATGCTATCCTGAAAGAACGACTCGGTGAGATGTCGTTTTTGTTAGTTCACCACTTAGCAAAAACGGACGCTAACCCAAGGTCAGGTTCCTCGTCTTGTTTAAGGAAGAGATGTAAAGACCACGTATCAAATTTCACAACTCTCCAATTGATTTTTTGTTCAGACTTGTAGCTTGTAGTCGTTATATTCACTCCCATCGCCGGAATTGAGAATGATGTTATTAAAAAAAAAGCAGAGCAGAAAATGTGAGCAGAAGACTGCCAAGGAGCACAGCCAAGACTTGACACCGACATCATGTTTGGGATGCTGAACGAATGATAAAATCTGCAGCTTGAGATTAAGTTCTTGGGATGAAGATGTATACAGAGATAATGAGTATGTATGCACAGATGTATGCTTTGCATGCTTATATGCGTGCTTGCATGCATAACGGCATACATAGTTAAATGCAATTTTTCCGAGGAATTAAAAATGGATTTGGATTTTAGAAAACGAGCAAAAACCCACGTTAAGACGGTGGGTGATCACTCCTTTGAAGTGGTAGTAGAGGAAGTTTGGACTTTTTGTCAGTTTCTTACTAAACTGCAGCAGTACAGGCGGAACCAGGAGTTTCTGATGAGCCAGAAGTAAAACAAAATAATAATAAAAAAAGCCTAACTTGTGCAGATTTTGAGCTGAAGCTAAACGAATGTTTCTGCTTGAGCCTGTGTACATCACACTTAGTATATGAAAATCTAAATGAATCAAGTAAAAAACAAAAACAAAGAAAAAACACAATTCTTAATAAATATAATTTTACAGTTGCCATATCTATTACCGGGATTCAACCATGTTTTACATGTTTTTTGGGGAGTTTTTCAATTGGAGTTGGTGAAGCGAGTTTCAACGTACTTGTTCAATACCGTTACATTTTTATTTAAAGATACGGCAAAACAATCGATTTGATCCGTTTCTGTATTTCGGGTGGGACTTTGCACATATAATCCAAATTTTTTGAGGTGGAGATTTCCATTTTTATTTTATTTGGTGAACGCTGTTGTATCGCGTCTGTCGCCATTCCTTTTCTCTAACCAAAAATGCTGCTAAAAATGCCGTCTCAAATGTTTTCGAGACTTTTTCCAGTGCTTTTGTAATGCTGTCATCTAGCTTGCAATTATTCTTTTAATTTACTCTTTTTGATGCAACACAACTACTTCCTTTTTCGCTTCAGTATAAACATACCAAACATGAATTACAACAACATGTCAGGTCTAAGTCACTCAGCTTCTTACCCAGGGTTACAATAATTGTTTTAGAGTAATTTAATCCCCTGCTGACAGTCACTGGACAGCACTGCATGTTAATAATAATCAACATTGATTCCAAATGTAGCATATAAGACCATATAAACAGTAAAATTGCTCCAATTCACGCTTTCCTCTTTTCAAAACTTCTCCACTGGAACACATTCAGCCCATGTACTCTGCGGCATGGTGGCTGAGAGAAGGCTGTTTAATTTCGCTGTAGAAAGAAGCGGTTGCAGTGAGAAGATTAAGCTTCCCAGAAAATACTGTCCAGATTCCCCCTGTTGACATTTCTCCACTGTTTTGTCGGACACATTGTCACATCAGACGCAGAGCTGTGGAAAGTGCCGTCTAGCATTGTTCTCGTGCATGTGGGGCCCCCCGAGCGTGCAGACAGACTTCTGAAAATTTTCATTAAACAGAAATTGAACTTTTTTTTTCTTTTTCTTTTTTTTTTTTCTCTCTCTTCTCGCTCCCATCATTGGTGTTTGCAGCGTTATATTTGGCAGGATCAGGGAACAATTCAATACCCGCATGATGCCATCCCTGCTGCACAGCTCTGTGTTGACAGAAAGAAGATAGAATGAAAGTAGTCGCACAGCAGCCAATATCGAGGACAAAGCAGAGTTCAGACTTGTTCTGGAGTTTTAAAGAACTCCGCCTTGGGTTACAGCTGACTTTTTCAACCGGATAACAATTGCACACATGCTAGGTGACATAAGGGCAGATATGGATATTTGAGCTGTTTGCAGTGGGGTATCGCTGTTTATGGCTGCGTGTTTGGTTCTTCCCTCCATTCGGGGTTTATCTTGTAAAACATGTTGTCACAGCGAGGGCTCACTTCAGGGCTTCCTTCAAAACGCCGCATACAGCCGTTAACCAGACGCTATCTTAAAACAAAATGATGACAAACATGGTCTTTTCCCAATCCCATGACCCCCTGGGACAGCAGAATGAGCCAGCAATAAACAATCAGACACCATGAAGAATCGTCACTTCTCGACTAAACTCCAAATTGGGCTGGTATGCGGGAAAATATCGTAGCCGCCTGTCTTCTCAGTGTGAATCACGCTTCCAGTTTGTGGAAAAAAAAAAAAAAAAAAAAGGAAAAACAGAAAAGTAAAAGTAGGGGGGGGGGAAAAAGGCTCACCATGTCCCCCTTGGATACAGTGAATAAAAAGAAGGCTGCCAGCCTGCTTATTCCGGAGCCACTCTGCAGCCGTTTTCCCTCTGCAGCGGCTCATTTGTGACTCCAAAGTTAGGACTTCCACCAAATAGTGGAGCGTGGCCACTTCATTAGCTCCTTCTTTCTGAGCGAATGTGAGTACATGCACACAGTCCTCGATGCCC